GCTAATACATTTTGATCTCGTAATTTTCAGAAACTTCCAAATTAGACGCTAATACATTTTGATCTCGTAATTTTCAGACTCTCAGCTATATGTATATTGGCTGTTTTCATATTCGATCGGTGTTTCTTTTCAAATCGGGGCCAATCATTTTATTAGCGATTGAAAATTGCCAAAGGATGCAAGATACTTTAGCATTTTGGTTTTGACCATTGCCAAGATTGAAAGAAAGCTATGGAAAAAATTAGCATTTATTCTAATAGCAATTCTACAGGAATCTTTATTGTACATGGAAATAATTTATTCATAACACAACAGAAAAAAAATATTAAAACTTGCCAACAATTATCTCTCCGTTAAAGCGAGCATTAAAGTTCAATGACAATTTTTGCATAAATGTATTTTTTACGATGTTCCATTGATATCGTCTGTTGGCTGCATTGCGTAGAGTGACCTTCAGTGGTATTGTGTAAGTTTTGAAAACGAAGTCGGCTGTAAGAGTTTAATTAATCAGTTAAAAAAAATGGATATAAGGTTCATACTTCACCTGTGCCTCCTATAGAAGTTTGGGCAACAGCTCCGGCTTCAACTTTTCCATAAAGAGGGCCTACACCTTTTAGATTAGTGGTGGGGTTTTCAACCTAGAAATATTCGGTTAATAACTAATAATCTTCATAGAAAATTAGTTAATTCAAAGATTTATCGAATACCTGCACTGGTGTATAATCATTTGTAACTTCCACACCATACAAGTTCATATTAGCAGTCGTCAGTGCTTCCAGCATCTGAAGGTATGAAATTGTCCGAATATTTTTAAAGACAGTTTCTCCTATAAAATTTCCATATTTTCGATTCCTGGATTTCAATTTCTTTTTTCTTTTTTTTGTCAAAGGAAAATACCCAAAAATGTTGGAATAGATTTGACTTTTTTTGCTTTTTCCGGTTCTCGGGATTTCAACAACTAAATCCAAGAACTCACAGATGCTCTAATTTCAGCATTAGCTCGCTGTCTGGCCAGTACTGTATCGTTTGACTGTCCAACAAAATACCAAATCTGGTAGTTATCGCTGCTCTAAAACTGGAAATGTGGAGTGTACTAAGCTCTGTTCTAACAGTAGATGGAACTATTTGTCACCTTCGCGGGGAAGAATGTCCATCCCACGGGTGGACTGATATCCATGCTAAATACCGGATTTTCGATCCATTCGTTGTCATCAACACCGCCCATGCCTAAATTTCAGCTAAATAACATAATGTAAACGCTAAAAAAATGTTCGCCCACCAGCCGAGCATGCCCATGCTGCAGCAATTACGACTGCTCCTAGTATAAACGAGAATATTTTGAACATCGCGATTTTGAACGACAAGAAAGCACAACATTCACATCGAGAGTTTTATACTATGTCTGTGGCATGTTTGTAAACATAGCTTTTGAACCAGCGGTGAGGGTCGTATACGTAATAACTTACGACTATTTGCACAAAATCTGCAGCGTTAAAAGGAATAGGGAAACATTAATTTGAGGAATGGTGATCCCAGGTTCAAGCAACCATAAACGATGTCCATTCAAAAGTGTGTGAGGTGGTCGCATAAGTTTGTGTCGTTTTTCTCAAAATTGGAAATATACTAAGGAATCGAAAGTCTTGGTTGCATATAGTTTGTCATTTATGTCCCTTCTAAAAAATTATAAAATAAGCTTATTTGATGACTATGGTTTATCTAACAGCGAGAGAAGATTTATTTTCAGAAGACTAAAAAAGCTTAAGCGACCAAATTTGCGAACAATGCCTAGTGGTGTGATTGGCTATGCTAATTACAAAAATCGTAGCCATTCCCCACGTATGATTAGTGTAGGATCACAATAGGTGAACATTGCCAGGGTCAAATTCACTGATTTGAAATGTGGTCTACTGGGATTAATTGACGTGTTGAATACGGACATCACATACATTCCTCATGGTAAACATTTCGCACCATACAAATAAAATAACCCAATTATTTTCCCTGCAGTAGATAGGTACGCTCAGACCTCGGCGGCAGGCCTCCGGAAGGCAAGCTGGAATTCGTTTTTGTGGAAAAAGCAGAGGGGAAATCGTATGGGGTCCGGAGAAGAGCGGAGTTCAATCTCAATTATGACCGCTTTTTCCACAATGTTGAA